TTTGGTTAAAGATGGAGGAATACTTACAGCTCAACCGCGACCTTTGGTGGTGAATAGTTAATTGCTGGTTTTCTTTTTTTGGTTTCCGGTGTCTTGTCCCATTTTGGGGTGTGACTAATCTAGATTTAGGAGGTTCCACTTTGGGGATAAAACATGCCCAGGGATCGAACCCGAGCTCTTTGGTTAAAGATGGAGGAATACTTATAACTTCACCACGACCTTCGGTAATGAATATTAATTGCTTGTTTTTTTTGGTTTCCATTTTCTGCACTCATTTTGGGCCCGACTCTAGATTTAGGAGGTCCCACTTTGGGGATGAGCTCGAACCGAAGACCTTTGGTTAAAGATAAAGGAGTACTTACTGCTCACCATGACTTTTGGTGGTGAATAGTTAATTGCTTGTTTTTTGTTCTATACCCTATTTTGGGGCTTGACTAATTTGGATTCCAGAGGTCCACTTTGGAGGTTAAATGCACCTAGGATTCGAACCTGAGACTTATGGTTAAAGATGAAGGAGTACTTATAGCTCCACCATGACCTTTAACGTTGAATATTTAATTGCTTGTTACTTTGTATTATATTTAGTAGATCAGATTGTGGTATGTTTTGTGTAGAAAAATTGGATCTTTTTTTCTTAAATTTTCCAACCTTTTTGGCTGTTTAATTTCATTCCTTTTAAACTTGATCTATGTTTTTTTAACAATGGTAGTAGTTCTTTTAGAAGTCTAGATTAACTGATTGAGATCAGATATGAGAATTTTTATGGATGCTCATATACATTATAACGCCTCGACAATCTGTTGCCAGGCAGATCTAGAATTTAAATTTAATGTGTTCAATACTTCATAAGTTTTTATCGGGCCCATTATACAATCAATTTCGAATCTTCTTAGTAATCTTCCACCTGTATATTGATGCCCCCTGTCAAAAATACTTTCCTCTGTGGACAATTCTTACCATTTCTGTGTTTTGCAGTAGTTTGCTTTTCTTTCCAATGGAAATTAAGTTATTTGCACATTCTATTTCAATGTTCATAAGGATCACTTCTTTTTTCAAATGATAGTATCTTCCTTGACGATGTTTCCATTGGAGATATTCAAAGAAATTGACTTTGTGTGGCGTTTCCTCAGTAGAATGTGTTTTTTTCTTTTGATAATCGTGATGTCCGAGACCCTTCGGGGTGGCCTAGTGGTTTGGGCTTGGGACTTCCATGTTGGAGGTCTCAAGTTCGAAACCCCTTGCCAGCAAAAGCAAGGGATTGTCTTCTGGGTCGAGCTCGTTGCACCAAACTTGCCTAGTGCGGGTTACCTCTCCTATGTGGTTTGCGAGCTATTGCATAGGAGCGGGGGTTCTACCCTGTGCACACCCAAAAGGTAGCGGCTATGGGTTTCCCTTGTCATCCAAAAAAAAAAAAAATTAAAAATTGTGATGTCCGAGATAGCTTATCGGGTAACTCTGTCTACCAAAACTTGGAAAGATAGGAAAAAATCACCTTGTATCTTTGCCTCTCAAGTCTCAGTAGAGTGTGTTTTGATGACATATATACAGAATCAAACACTAGATGATAAATATACTTCGAGCAATTCAGAGATTCTCAATGTCTCATGGTATTAGTTTAAGATTTTATTCAGTAAGAAATTGATAATTAAACAAGTTTACTTACCTTGTCTTTTGTTGTGTTATATTTGAAGTTTATTAAGCCATGACAAGTATCTATCTATTGGTTGTTGAAATAGGTTTTGTTTTCTTGTTGAAAAATTTGTAGCAACTTTTATTAACTATTAATCTACCTCCTAAGGTAGCGGTAAGATTTGCATACACTCAACCCTCCCCAGATTCCACGTGTGGGATTACTCCGGGTATGTTGTTGTTGTTGTTGTTTAATGACTATTAAGTTTCTTGATTGATGATAGGGTGAGCCAAGCTTCCACCTTTATGGATTTATCATGTGTATTGGTGCAACTGCTGCTAGAGCCTTCAAGTCTGTTCTTCAAGGAGTTCTTCTTTCTTCCGAAGGGTAAGTACTTTGTCGTCTAGCCATCTGTGTAAACGCAAAATACTTTTACTATCACGTCATCTAAAAGATAACTAACTACAGGTTACGAGTTTCTGATCTTCTAGTTTCCTCATTTGATTTACATCTGATAGAGATTGGGGTTCCTTTCAAATTCACGACCCTTCATTCGATTTATTTGTCATTCGTTTGTTTTGCTGATACATTTTAACTAGTAGTTTTCTCCTGAACCTGATGTTATCTTTCAGGGAAAAACTGAACTCCATGAATCTCCTGCTCTACATGTCACCAATTGCTGTTGTAGTATTATTGCCTGCTGCACTCGTTATGGAGCCTAATGTTATCGAAGTCACTGCAACAATCGCGACTGAACACAGATACCTTGGCCTGCTTATTTTGATTAATTCTGCAATGGCCTATGGTGCCAATTTATTGAACTTTTTGGTGACTAAGCATACCAGTGCATTGACACTCCAGGTTTGCTCCTCTCATACCCCTCTTTTCTCCCCCTTTAAGTGTAGTGTTATGTGGCAAAAGAAAGACAAAAGCAGAATGATAACCAAGGGGTGTGGTGGAGTGGTTGGAAATATATTATGCTTAATCAGAAGTCTCGGGTTTGAGCCTGAACTTGGGAATAAAGAACCTTATCGTAGATACCATTGGCCACTATAGACCTAAGTTGCTCGGACTCGGGTGCGGGTGTCCGATACGGGTGTGGATCTAGAGGTCGGATCCTTCATGATCTAATTTTTAAGATTCGGGGATATGGATCCATGTATGGATACGGGTGCAGGAATTCACCTAGTATAATTAAAATATCTAAAAATAGAGTTATAAAACCTAAATTATGAGATATTATGTGGAGAACTTGAAGAGAATCTTGGAATGAGATTAAAGGAAAATGAGTGACATAGAAATTTCTATATAAAAGGCATTCCATTTTCTTCAATTTCACATTAGCTTTTGTATTGATTATAGAAATCATTAAAACTGTCTAGACTTCTCCATCGATTTTGGTCAAAGTACCCAAAATTGGTTGACCAAATCGGACACGGATTCCACACCCACTCCTATGTCGTGTCGACACGGGTGCGGCACCAAAAGTGAAGAGTTCGAGCAACTTAGCTATAGACCACTCCTGGATTAGCAAATGTTTTTGTTCTCTAACTTGCCATATGTCCTTAGACTTGAACACGAAAGATCACGCCTAGTCTCAGGCCAAGAAAGGTTAATTTTTTAAATACGTGTTTAAACACATATACTTCCAAATACCCTTTCAACTTCAACCAAATACTTTATTGCTCGGACTCTTCAAAAATGCTACAGAGTGTGTATTAGATCCTCCAAAACTAGTGCATTTTTGGAGGATCTGTCACGGGTGCAATAACATTTTCGGAGAGTATGAGAAACATAGACCAAATATTGTCCAAACGCCTACTATATTTTTCAAGAATGGTACTAAATTTTCATAGTAGCTGCAATGTACATGTTTTTCACCTGTTTGAAACAACTAAACTCTCTATGGACTGGTGCAGGTCCTAGGCAATGCAAAAGGTGCAGTGGCTGTTGTTATCTCCATACTAATTTTCCAAAATCCAGTAACTTTCATCGGAATCGCGGGCTACACGATGACTGTGATGGGAGTTGTTGCTTATGGAGAATCCAAAAGAAGGCACAAATAAGTTTGACATCAAAACCCTTTTTTTCTTGTTCTCATAAAGTACCATACACTTGTGTTTCTTCAAAAGGTGTTAGATGTGTTGTGGTAGAGTTAGGAAGATATAGATTCCATTGCAATTTTGTAGCCCATAGACAGATGAAATGGTTAAAAGGGGTTGATTTCTTTTTACCATTCTTCTGTTGTATTCTTTCTATTAAGAGGGGATCTTTACATTTGTAACTAATTTTTGTGTTGTTACAATAAAGTCAAATAATGTCTTCTTCCTTATGTATTTTCCCTTGTATTTGTTTCCTTTTTGCCTACAAACATTCTTTGAAACTAATACAACATTTATTAGATTCGAATCTAGGATTTAAAATCGATAGATTCTGAATGATTGTTTTATTATATGTATACATTTAAAATCTTTTTTATATATATATACACATAGTTTGAGACGAAAGCAATGAGTTCAATTGAAGCATGTGATATGACCAACTCTTTCATATTCCTTTTTATAATCTCCATCTCCACTTTAGGAAAAAGGGAACCAAATATGTCTGTTTTATAAGTACTTTGAACATCTATAGAATGTTTTTTAGAAACTCTAAAGAGATACAATTCTGAACTATTATATATTTGAAATTTATCAAAATAACTTCATAAATTTTCCCTGACTTTATTTGTTCGACTACTTTTTGCACAATTTCAAAATATTCTTTCTCCAAGATTATTTTTACACCTTAAACTCGTGACATTCAATATACTGATGACTCTTACCGCTGCGCTAAACTCTCCCCTTTAAAAGTTGACCCACAGCTTTTAAGGAAAAAAAGAACTTTTAGCTGTCAATACAGTCTATAATGCTTAAAAAAAGTGTTTTTTTTTCTTTTCTCTTGTCATCCAAAACTATATACAATGACCCTTCTGGTTCGACTCTTCTCCAAATCTCGTGCATAGCGAAAGCTTCAGTGTATCACCTTGTCCTTTTTATCGAAAATAAAGGGAACACTTTCAATTTATATACTTCGAAAATTGTTTGCATTATTTGATATTGTTTAGCTAGTCAATAGAGTTTGTTATTTTAAAACTATTAAGATTCGAGTTTACAGAATTTGCAAGTGACTTGAGTAAAACTTCAGTGTCATTTTGTCTCCAATTTTAGCTTTTTAAATTTTTTTATAACCATGATGTCCAAACCAACTTGGACGCACCTCGACGACTAATTTCACGAGGTATCTGCAAGCTCCCACCAGGGGTAATAGGCTAATCATGACCCCAAAGAGAAGAAGATTAACAAAGACAGCTTTTTTCCTACAATATTTTCAATAATTTCAATGTATATAAGCAAGTCAATTTCAAAATTTTGTGTTCATACCAATTACAAACAACTGAACTGTTGAATTAGGATAAAAAAAATCTTAATGTCTAAATGTCCTAGGATGATTTAGTAGCCTAAATGTCTTCTTCATAAACACTTCCTTCATCAGAAATCTTGGATAGAAGCAAGTATTGAGTGTATGCAAGTTATTTATTTGAAGGAAGCTCGCGATTTTGTGCTCTTAACTTCTGAAGTTCCAGGAAATGCAGAAGCACAAAAGGGCTGAAAATAGCTACACTTTAATAGTGAAAGTATCTTCGTTTGTCATTACTACGAAAACTTATCTCATTCTACTCATGTCAAATGTTTCAAGTAAACAACTTGGAATCAGAAACCTAACCAATTGATAACGATCCTTCGTGAGATTACACAAAAGCTCCATACCTCGTCTGAGCTATGCATGCTTAAAGATCTTCATGCTGAGCCAGTGGAAATATATAGCAACAACAAGGATGGGAAGCGTTAATGGAACCAGAAAGCAATAGTATCTGAAACAGAAATACAAAATAACTCAACACAGGCGCAAAGCACTATTTATACAAACACAAACATGATAATTTGGGAAAAGGGGAAGAAGAATATTTGTAAACAATTGAACATGAGATATTCCAGCTACAAAGCCTACTAAGCATTTAGTAAGATTTTGATCATACCACTGTAATTACATTAGACTAACAACCATCACAAAATTGGAATCACATCTTGTATAATCCTCATTTCACAATAACAATTCCACTCATTCACCTCCATTCACACTCTTGCCATAACCGTTATTTATTGAGTTAAATTCAGTTCATGAAAACTCTTGTACAACTTAAGTATTAAATTAAGATGATCGAATCAACTATTACGAAATCATCATGCCACTATGTGATATTATGTAGCTAATAATGAACGTAAGCATCTAGAATTGAGAATTACTGGTCTGATACTACCAAATCAACGCTTCAAATTGGCACAATGTGATGTAATAAATAAGTAAGAAAATGGAAGTGTTTCTATTCAAAATTGATCTTTCAGGACGAAGAGTATATCTATAAGTATGCATAGCTGGTTGGAAGAGACCCATGTAGTTGTAAACCTCTTAAGCATATTAATTTTTTATTGAAACCACAAACAGTTAGATGTTCGAGTTGTAACTTACTGAAGAACTACCAGTCGTACGGAAAGTATAATACATTCCGACCAGCAGCATCGGCTCCTCAGTAATCTTCTTTATATATCCATGATGATTAAATGCAGAATTCCAAAAAGTACTTTTCCGAGAGAACTAGATAAAATCTCTTTATTTTTCAAAAAGGGAAGACAAGAAAATTCTTAAACACACAGAATTGTCACAAATATGAATGCAAGTTTACTGGAGACGAGATCCTAGTAAAATAATTTCAAATGGGAGTGGGATCAACATCGCAGCAGTTAGAGCATAAATAATCACAAACCGGTAAGTTATGATCGATACAATTTGTGAACAACTATTACCAACAGGCCAATCATACAATTTGTCAAGAGTAACAAACACAATGAGCAGCAAAAGAACATTCATAAAGAGTAAGTGAACAAAGCCATTTATCATCCAAAAACAGTCTAAAATCTCAATACCTCAATTCAGTTTACGATCGACACAATAATGTCGCAGTGTCAAGTTCCTTACAAATCCCTAAATTTAAATATAATCTAAACAATCAGTATCTAAGGTGAAACAGCAACAAATAATCCGGATAAGGCTCAATAACAGTTTGCATTTCACTGAGAAGTACATTATAATATTTCCCAAAAGCTATCAAGACAACCAGGCATAACTAAATTTGTCTAAATACCAGAAACTGAATAAAACTGAACAAAGGGAAAGTCACCTGTCATTCTGAATGGCTGCAAGGATCGGATTATCGAATGGCGGAAGCAACTTGGAGACAATAGCAACATAAACAAATACCAAAAAAGAAATGGACCCAAATGCAAGAAAAGCCAACCCTTGAGCTTTTGAACCATACTTGTAAATAGAACACAGCGCCATTTGATACTTGAAAATTCACAGACTGGAAAAAAAAAGCACATTAATACATCAGACAATTGCATAAAAAAAGACTGCTGATTTGGGTAATTTCATAATCAATAAAGCAACAAAAAGATCCAATCTTTCATGGGATTTTCACTGATAGAAGCAAATTGAGAAACAACATCGAAAAGGGTTCAATACAAACCGTTAAAAATTAGGTCACCAAACTGCTATCTCAGCAGAGCCATATCAGAAAAAGCAGCAAAAAAGAGATTTTGCTGATTTGGGTGATTTCATAATTGACAAAGCAACAAAAAGATCCAATCTTTCATGGGATTTTCACTGATACAAGCAAATTGAGCAAGAAAATCGAAAAGGGTTTAGCACAAACCGTGAAAATTTGGTCACCAAAACTGCTATCTGAGCAGACCCATATCTATTTCCTTCTCTGTTCTTCAAAAAAGCTTCGAGTTTTCAGAATCAAACCCACCAAAAAAAACACTGAGAAGAACAATTGAAGAAATCCCAATACTGTAAAACGTTTACAGAGCACTGTAATTAGGCGTATGGAGTTTGTTCGTATTTGGAAACCGAACTCGCTTGGCTGCCTGCCATGGAGATTTCCTCAAAGGATGTCCAATAATACAAAAATAAAATTTCACTTTTATTACATTTTTAGCATGTAAAAAATCAATTACTTATTTCTAAAATTATTTTTTTAAAAAAATATAAGACTTTACATTATTAATTTAAATATTATAGTAAAATATTTATATGAATAATTATTTAAACTTTAAAGTGCAAAGTTTAAAGTGGACAAACAAAAGTGTACAAAAAAAAATACTATATAAATTTTGAATCTCTAATCATAAGATAAGAAATTAAAATTCACATTAAAATTTTAAGCACTTAAAAGGTAGTTTTGCTCGAAGCTCGTTAAATTGTTGTATTATGTCATATTACCAATTATTATCAATATTACGCCATCAGTACGAGACTTTTTCATCCTCCATCAAAAACCATATAGTACTAATGATGAAATAACATAGCTCATGCATTATTTGCTTACATGAATAAGGGAAAAAACATTAAAACACCGTTAATTTTGAGTCGAATTATTGTAACACAATAACACACTCTATTTTTAGGTTATCTTATTATACCGTGAACTTCTTTATAAATGTAGCCCATCAATAGCCACTTCAAGTTGGCACAACAAACTCCAACGTGAAGTGTTTGAAATGAAAAAGACTTGGTTGAAATATCTAAATGAAAAGTAGCGATAAATTTAGGTGTCTGTCGGTAGGCTCCGCCTTTTATTATCTTGTAATATGGGCAATGAAAGAGGCCATCTCTTTGGCACTGCCACCACCATCCACCACTGATTTGCTCAACTCCATAACCCTCTTCCTCATCTCATCTCCTTCTGCAGATTCCATCAATCTCTTAACACATTCTCCAACTGCAACTGAACTCACCAACTCATCTCTCTTTGCCCAATCCCTCAATTCAACTCCAATTTTCAACACTTCGGTTACCAAAACTGCATTTCTTGGTTGATCTGAATGCATTGGCCAAGCTAAAATTGGCACCCCCATTGATATACTCTCCATACATGAATTCCACCCGCAATGACTCATGAATCCACCCGTCGACTCGTGTCCCAATATCTCCAATTGTGGTGCCCAATCTCTCACTATAACCCCTCTTTTCCCCACTCTCTCTTCATACCCTTCTGGTAACTCAACTTCTCTACTTTCCCCTGTAAAAATGTCACCTTTATCAGCTTCCCTCAATACCCATATGAATCTCTGCTCGCTTTTCTCCAACCCAATAGCTAATTCCTTAATTTGTTCATCAGAAAACGTAGTCGTCGTCCCGAAAGACACGAATATTACAGAATTTGGTTCTTGTTCATCAAGCCAATTCATACATTTATGTGAAATTAATGAATTATTTTTATCATACCGTTTCACCGGGTTTAATGGACCAATAGCCCATTGTTTATTACGCGAACTTTTCTCTTTTGCTAGCCAATCAAGATACAATCCTTCAATTTCATAGCAAGAATTGTATAAATTACCAGAATTAACAAGTTCCCTGAACTCAAATTGTACTCTGGTATACTCTGTAAACTCCGGCGTAACAGAGGATTTATCCCAAGAGTAAATCGAAAAAGCTGAAATGCTACGAAAGCAGTAACACTCAACATTTGATATAGAAGGAGCATCTTGAAGAACCCAAGCTATTAAAGAATCGTAAATAACAATTACTCTTCTGTAATTTCTGGAAAGTTCTTGTAAAAGGGAAGTAATCGGGTGACGAAGATGACTCGTGGCGTGGAAAGAGGGCATCAATTGGGAAGGGAATTTGGTGGTGGAATTTGGATTAGGAGCTGGGGTTTCGTAATTTGGGATTGGGAATTCATGGAATTTGACGGTGGAGGTGGAGAGTGGGTTCCAGCCATGGATGCGATTTTTTGCTTGACGGAGGTGGACGGCGGTTCCGGCGAAGTGGAGTGGGAGGTGATAGGCGGAGATGAGGCGGGAGAGGTGGAGGAGTTGGTTTAAATGGCCTTGTGCTGGTAATGGAACCATTACTATGGCAACTTCATGATTGGTAAGTTTCGCCATGGAAGAACAGAGCTTTTTTGCAGTCTTGTTGGAAAACTGTTGCTTACAATTGGGTATATTTAAAGGTGCAATTGGTAGGCTGCAATTTACTTTTTCTTTTTTTTTCCCTATCATGTCCCGTGTCCACATTGATTTTTTTTTTTCCCACATTGAAACCCGACGAAATTCGAATTCATGTCGAAAAGTTCCACATTAGGTAAAGCATTCCTCTTCGAATTCGTGCCGAGAAGTTCCACATTGGGTAAAGCACTCCCTAACAAAAGAGACTCTGTACCTAAGGGGGCTCGAATCCGAGACCTCCTGATTAAGGACGAAGGAGTACTTACCACTCAACCACAACCGGTTACTATCAATGGTTAATATGAAATTCTAGAAGGATTTTTTTTTTAAAAAAAAAATCAAGTAATTTCTACCAAAGATAAGAGATATTCTTAGCTTTTCTTAAACTACTACTCCATAAATGTAAAAATATGTGTAGATGTGCCACCTACATTAATTTTTTTTTAAAACTTTCTAAATTTTATTATTGTCTCCTTAATTACACGAGTAACTCCAACAAATAATGGATTAAAATATACGTATTTGGTATAATAAACAATATTTTTCAAAAAATAATATTTTTTTAAAAAAAAATTACTTACACCTGACAGCTTTTTGCAATAATTTTTGTTGTGAGACCCGGTCAATATCGTGTAGCTAACCAAATTTTCCTCAAGAAAATGATTTTTACTTTTGAATAATGTGACTACTGACGGCTTGTTTAAATGTGTTGTCTGTTTTATTGCATTACTAGACATAGGCCGTGTCCGTGCTAGCACGAGCCTAATATTTATTGAGTATTTTTTTATTTTAATTTATGTGATATAGATAGAATTTAGAAAATTAGTGAAATTTTAATAGAATTTTTAGATATTTTAAGTTGTTATTTACTTTTTGTTTGAGCAAATTTAATGTGAATAGGTCCATTAAGATATCTATAAATAAAGTATTTTTCATCATCATCATCGATCGTTGATTTTTTACTCAAAGTCTCAAAATAGTTACAAAATATAACCAAAAATTACCGACATTCAAAATAATAAAACTATAACTAAAGAATATGAATTTAGAACTAAATGTCATAGCTAAAAACGAGTCTCATAATTTTGAAAATATTATACACTACTTAAATTAAAGTAGAATAAAAGAAATATTTTTTAAAATTTTTTCTGAAACACGCTGAAGCGGGCACGTCGACGAAGATGTGTCTGCTTCAGCGTGAAGTTAAAACTAAAAGTCATAGCTAAAACGGATCTCATAATTTCAAAAATATTATACAGTAATTAAATTAAAGTAGAACAAAAGAATAATTTTTTTAAATTTTTTCTCCAAAACTGTGTCTGCTTTAGCGTGAAGTCCCATATATAAGAGAATATATTGTTATTTTATAAATGATCTTATATATTTTTTTTAATTATTAGGTAAATTTTATTATATTTATATCGTATTCTTAAATTTATTATTATTTAATGATGAAAAAAATAATTTATATGACAACTGATTTAATAGTTGTTCGTTATCTTATTTTCCCTTTATTATACTTTTCTTCAACATTTATTCTCTTAATTTGAAAGAAATTTTGGAGTAACAATATAATTATTGGTGCGATTTATAAATTTCAAGCATGAACCTTAAAATTACTTATTGATATTTATATTAGAATAAATTACTTACATCTATTATACCTATATAACTCTTCTACAAATTTCGAGTAAATTTGAAATATTTTATATATCAAGCTATCTTTTTTTATTTTCTTATTCTAGGTGTGGAAAAGTAACACCATAGAAAGATAAGCAAGTCAATTAGGAAATGCTTTATCTTTTGGTCGAATTTAAATGTAATCAAACTTCAATATAAATATTGAATATTGAGTGAGAAACCAAAAAAAAGTCAATTAGACTATATTTTCACATAATGCTATTTTTGAAATATTCAATGAAGCTAGAAGGTTGAACGACTATGCAAGATGAGTGATTGATATAATATGTCAAGTGTTAATTGTTCTCTCTTATGTTGTAAACTTATGTCACCACTTACGTTTCAACATGACATTTGGATCCAAATAGGAAAAGAAAAAAGAAAAAAGAAAAAGACAATGGAATGTGATGAGAAGAAGAGAATCATTTTATTATTAATTAGAAATTTCAAGATCAATTTCTAAGTATAAATAAAATCTTAATAGGGAGGACTTAACCTTTAATGATTTTTACCTTATATAAATTCGGATTAATTTGGACCTCAATGTGGATCAGTAATGTAATCATAATTTTCATTAAGAAGAGTTAAAATATATTTAAAAAAATAAAAATGAAGAAAAAGTTAAAGAAAAATCTTATATATATTTACTGCTTGAGTAATAAAGTGGAACCTTCCTTCACGATCAATTAAAAGAAAAGTCGTTCAAAAATATTTGTTCAAATTTAATACTGAAGACAGAATAATTCAACAAATCTAAGGAAACAAGTTCTAGACCTTATTATCTATCAATCAAGAAAGTAAAGAATAGAAGGTTTGATTAAAAATAGTACATCTATACAAATCTGTCATTAACAATTTGACGTGAACACATCTAATTGAAAATTTAATTCCAATCTCTTTGGAATAAGCTTTAAAATTGACTTGACTTGAGTCAACAAAAGAGCTCAAAGCTCATATATTTAACTAAAAAAAATAGACTCAACTTCGAGGAATCTTCCTACAAAGACTTTTATGAGTAGAGATTTTCCATAAGCAACGTTCTTTTTCTATTTCACTTCGTTCTAGAAATTTGATCTCGTCACAAAGAAGAGATGGGTAAAAAAAAAACACATTGCTATGTTCCTAGGAAAATTCCCATAACATTTATACAACTTGTCAATAGCAAATTAGCAACCAACAACTAGCACCATTAAATACCCCAATACTACATACTCATAATTTACCAAAAAATTATAATATGGTCAAACTTAGCAATGTTGAGGTGGCCGTAGTGATGATTCCACTACCAGCACAAGGCCATTTAAACCAACTCCTCCACCTCTCCCGCCTCATCTCCGCCTATCACCGGAACCTCCGCCAAGCGAAAAATCGCGTCCAAGGATGGGACCCACTTTCCACATCCAACGTCAAATTCCACGAATTCTCAATCCCAAGTTACGAAACTCCACCTCCAAATCCAAATTCAACCACCAAATTTCCCTCCCATTTGATGCCCTCTCTTCTCGCCACGTGTCATCTCCGCCACCCAATTTCTTCTCTTTTACATTAACTTTCTAGAAATTACAGAAGAGTAATTGTTATTTATGATTCTTTAATAGCTTGGGTTCTTCAAGATGCTCCTTCTATACCGAATGTTGAGTGCTATAGCTTTCGTAGCATTTCAGGTCAGTCGCGACTCAAACAAATTAGTGGCCTAAAGTCAAATTCAAATAACAGATTCACATTATTAAACTTCTTCTAATAATTCTTTCCAGGTTTTACTATTTACTCATTCATCTGTGATGCTGCTGGAAGATTACCTGCTGATGCTGAAAATGAATTTCTGGAAAAAATTTCATCAATGGAAGGCAGCTTCACATCAGAATTTGCAGAATTCAGCAGAGTACAAACAGAGTTTAGGGAAATGGTTAATTCTGGTGATTTATACAATTCTTGTTATGAAATTGAAGGATTTTATCTTGATTTGCTAGCAAAAGAGAAAAGTGCAGGTAATAAACAATGGGCTGTTGGTCCATTAAACCCGCCGAAACTGTTTGATAAAAGAGATTCAAGAAAACCCCATAAATGTATCAAATGGCTGGATGAACAAGAACCAAACTCCGTCATATTCGTGTCTTTTGGGACAACGACTACACTTTCCGATGAAGAAATTAAAGAATTAGCGATCGGGTTGGAGAAAAGTGAGAAAAAATTCATATGGGTATTGAGAGAAGCAGATAAAGGTGACATTTTTACAGGGGAAAGTAGAGAAGTTGAGTTACCAGAAGGGTATGAAGAAAAAGTGGAGAAAAGAGGGTTAATAGTGAGAGATTGGGTACCACAACTGGAAATATTGAGACACGAGTCGACGGGTGGATTCATGAGTCATTGTGGGTGGAATTCATGTATGGAGAGTATTTCAATGGGAGTGCCAATAGTTGCTTGGCCAATGCATTCCGATCAACCAAGAAATGCAATTTTGGTAACAGAGGTGTTGAAAATTGGAGTTGAATTGAAGGATTGGGCGATGAGAGACGAGTTGGTGAGCTCAGATGCAGTAGCAGAATGCGTTAAGAGATTGATGGATTCTGCAGAAGGAGATAAGATGAGACAGAGGGCTACGGAGTTGAGCAAATCAGTGGTGAATGGTGGTGGTAGCGGCAAAGAGATGGGACTCTTTCATTGCCCATATTACAAGATAAAAAGATCCAGTTTTGTACTAGTTGAGCTTGTTTCATGTTTTGTTACCCTGAATGTCAATTAGAATTTAAAGAAGTTTATATTATATACGGACAACATATTTTTATACCATCGAAACAATTTAATCGATTATAACAGATCATTAGTTCATTACTCAATGTTTAACAACATAAGATATGGTTTAATACGATAGATTTGTTATTGTAGATCAACCTAACCTGATAAATGTGAACTCATCTGGTAATATGAGCAACAAAGGAATCCATCTCCTTGCGAATGGCGCCATTCATCACTGACTTCTTCACAGCACTGCTCAACTCTGTCACTCTCCGCCGCAGCTCCTCTCCTTCTGCAGAACCCATCAAATTTCTCACCGCATTTTCAAATTTCGCAGCACTTACCAATTCATCTCGATTTTCCCAATCTCTCACAATGATCCCGATCTTCAGTACTTTTGTTATCAGCACAGTGTTCCTCGGCTGATCTGAATGGATCGGCCAAGCTGCCATTGGAACTCCCATAGAAATACTCTCGATACATGAATTCCATCCACAATGACTCATGAATCCCCCGATTGACCCGTGTGCCAAGATTTCCAATTGGGGTGCCCAATTTTTCCCTATTAACCCAACCCCCTTATCTTTAATTCTCTCTTCAAATCCTTCTGGCAAATCAAAATTACTTCCACTTTCGATATTTTCAATATTATCCCCACCTTTTTTGTCAGCTCCTCGAAGAACCCAGATGAATTTTTGGCCACTTTGTTCTAATCCAAATGCCAGCTCGTTAATTTGTTCTTTCGATAACGTAGTTGTTGATCCAAATGAAACATAAATCACTGAATTCCGCTCTTGTTTGTCAAACCATGAAAAACATTCATGAGTTTGTTTAGAGCGTTTTTTCTTTGAAATTTCCACTGGATTTAATGGACCAATTGCGCATTGCTTGTTTTCACGTTGTTCTTCCAGCAAATCAATGAAAACACCTTCGATTTCTTTACAAGAATTGTGTAGACCAACTGAGTAAAACTTTCTCGACTCACGCTGCATCTTTATGTATTCTATGGTTTCTGAATCAAATGTGTTTTCCCTTGGAGGAAGCTCTGCAATTATCTCAGCCACCGGAGACGGAAGTGACTTTTTTGTAGTTTCACAGGCGAATGACAGAGCAGTGAACACAGAAATTGTATGGAAACAGTAGCATTCTGTATTGGGCATTGACACTGCATCTTGAACTACCCATGACATGCCTGCAACAATTGTTTTTGAACTCGTAATTTCAAAAGTACAACTACAACTGATAATTAAATGGCTCAACTCCGATCACTCCCTCGCAAATAGAAGGCAATAAGGTCTTCTTGACCACCTCAAAATAAGAAAGACTTATAGCAGAAATCAGAGTTGATTTCTCATATGGTCACTCAGCTAACAAATATTATCTCTGAAAGTTATCTTTGTTCAATGAAGTTGAAACAAAGAAGAAATATAACTTTTTTAGATAATACTCTTAATTGAGTAACCATATGAGATATCAACTCAAGAAATCGAAATGATTGTACCCAAAATAGCTCTGATACCTCGTAAAGTAAAATAGACACGTGCACTGGTAAAATAGCTGTCATTCATGAGATTCTAATAGTCTTTCTCCTAGTGTTGTTGCCATGATGCACTGGTTGTAATAGTTATTTTACTAGATCTTTTTTTGTTGAGTCATTTCTTAATTGTTCATCGTCTACTAATCTAGCTCCTAAAATATATAACATTCTTGATCCTTCCTTTTACTAATATTCTCTTACTGAAATCATAAATAGGCTGTCTTTCTAAAAGAAGTAATGAAAGAGAAGATCAAAATCAAAGCTAAATCCATCAAATTTAAATTTTGAATCCGTCTTTACATACCTGAGTCATTAATAACCACTGTCCTTCTATATGTACTTGAAACTTCCTGCAAAAACTCCCGAATTGGTTCACGAAGCAGCAAAATGGATGTGAAGAATGAGCCTATTTTCTCCATTACTGCTGCAGAAACAGAGGAACAAGAATCAGGAGGAACAGGTACAAGGTCATGAAATCGAATGGTCGGAAAATCAAGAATGTCCCAACCAGATAGCCGGAATTTCGCCTGTCGATTACTAGTACTAGTACCTAGGAAAAATACAGGAAGTTTGTAAGATGAAAGGATACGAGAAAGATTGAGAAGGGGATTGAGATGTCCTTGTTCTAAATATGGAACAATTACTATTGCTACTTGATATGTTTCTTCATTGTTCATTTGGTTGTGTTTTTTCAGATCAAAGAGGTCAGCCATTGAAGAGTTTTGAGGTTTTTGGTACTTTGTGTAATGACTATAAAAATGATCAAAAGTGGACAAAAGTAGTTGTTATATTATATAGGATGAAGCACATGATGTTGGAAGTATGTGTGAACTTAATTGACTGAAATACCCTCACTTCATCATCATTTCTTGGGTCCTCCACTTTAGTCCCTCAACTTGTGATCGTTTTCAAGGAGTGACATACATATGAACATCAAATAGTTGATCAATGATCACATCTGGTAATAATGCTATAGTATGATATCAAGAAAGTCAAGTCAAGCATTGTTTCATCCAATTAAGGATAACAGCCCGCTCAAGGATTTTCCGTTCTCCATCAAATACCAAAATATACTTCATCCATCCACTTTTACTTGTTCATTTTTAACATATCAAGAAAAGATAATTTTTTTCCTCCACATTAATTACTTATTTTGCAAGACCTTACATTAACTAATATGAATATTATTGTAAAATTTATATTAATTATTACTTTCTTAAGAGGAGTGCAAAGTCCAAATAGACCACAAGTAAAAAATGAACAGATGAAGTAATAAAATTTCTTTTGATCTCACAAATTGGACAAATAAATTGAACAATTATTTTTAATATAGGACCAAGTAATATGAAACGAAAACAGAATGAGTATTTGATTTCTATCGTTACGCACCAAAAATGAAAATAATACTCCCTTCATTACATTTTACTTGGCTCCTATATCAAATAATTGTTTCATTTTATTTGCCTATTTTTAAAAAATCAAGAGAGTTTTATTGCTTTTTATCCATACTACACTTGAGATTAAATAACCAAATAAAATAGTAGTAGTCAAATTTAAAGTTTCAACAACAACAACAACAACAACATACCCAGTGAAATCCCACTAGGTGGGGTCTGGGGAGGGTAGAGTGTACGCAGACCTTGTCACTACCTCGTGGAGGTAGAGAGGCTGTTTCCGAAAGACCCTCAGCTCCAAATTTAAAGTTTCAAAACATCAATAATAAAATTAATTTAGTAAAATACACCTCTTATTAAAACTATCTTTTCAACATGAGTCTCGTAATATGAAAGGGGAGTAGTTATAAATTCTTCATCTTTAATCGACGATTTTGAGTTTGAACCCCCAATATAAAGTCGATGTGGAATTTTCTATCCAAATTTAACCCTGATACAAATATCAAATGAGAAAAAGATTAAAAAAAAAACTCCTTCATTTCATATTACTTGATCGTTGTTGATCTGACATATCCTTTAAGAAAGCATTAATTAGAGGTGTATTTTATTAAACTAATATTATTAATGATATTTTGAAAGTTTAAAGTTGACTATGATTACTTTATTATAGTTATTTAATACTAAGAATATGAAGAAAAATAACTCCTAATTTGCTAAAATACAACATAACCCATAAAATCCCACAAGTAAAAAGAGTATTGATTTACCTACCAGTTATCTTGGCACCAACATGCTTGATAATTGACAAATATAATTTAACTTCACAGGTAGATGTAGGGAAAACAGATGGTTGCATCAATTGTGATCCACTAACTTTGCCTTGGATTTTTATTAGAATATTACTATGTTAGGTCCTAATTTTGCTCGGACTCAAGTGCGGATGCCCGATACGGATGTGGATTTATATGTCGGATCCTCTATTATCTAAATTTTTAGATTCAGCGATACGGATCCATGTCTGGATACAGGTGCAAGAATTCAGCTAAAAATAATTCAAATAACTAAAATAGAGTTATATCTGGATACAGGTGCAAGAATTCAGCTAAAAATAATTCAAATAACTAAAATAGAGTTATATAACCTATGTTACGAGATGTTATGTAGAAAACTTGAGGAGAATCCTGGAAGGAGATAAAAGGAAAGGGAGTGACAATAGCAATTTACATATACAAGGTATTCATTTTCTTCAATTTCACCTTAATTTTTGTTTTGCGCACAAAAATCATTAAATTTGTCCAAAAATTTCTCCCTTGAATTTGGTCAAAGTACCAAAACTAGTTTGACCAGATTGGATACGAATTCCCACACACACACCACGTCGTGTCGACAAAGGCGCGACACCAAAAGTGAAGAGTCCGAGCAACTTAGGTTAGGTCAATATTAGAGATCACTTGAAGTAAAGAAGGATTTATATATAGTCACAACTTCTGGCTTGAAGAGAAAACCATGTGTTTTGAACAAAGAAATAAGAGGGGGACAGCATCTTTACAGACTAAATTTCATGGGTATAAATTATATGATGCAGTTTCTTCAGATCCTTCCTAAACTTGACATGTTTTCTTCAAATACTTCCCAAACTATCAGTAGTCTTTTTGGTAGCCTTTACCACCTACACTACTGATAGTATAGGGGATCTAAAGAAAACGCCCAAGTTTAGTATGGTCATTAGGTATTGTGCATTCGAAACAATTCCTTTATTCCCCGGCTGCCATCGGAACTAGGATAGTAAATAATTATTCGGTGGCATCAGCTACAACAACATACCCAGTGAAATCCCACAAGTAAGGTTTGGAGAGGGTAGAATGTACGCAAACCTTATGACTACCTCGTGCAGGTAGAGAGGCGTGGCATCGGCTACATAAAAGCAAATAAGAGATTGATCTTTCCCATCCTGTGTAGTATTTTTACAATATCAGAAATGCAGCATATTCACAAGCAGACAACATCAACAACAATTTCCTTGGTTCAAAATAACCAAACTGAAACTTGTAAAGCAGCATGTTAACAACAACCTAACAGCTATGAAATCTTTACTAAGAGGCATCTTGTTTGTCCGACTATTATGATACCACAAAAGTGGTTACTCATCAAGGAACTAAGGGGTCATTTGGTAGCTGTATTGGAGGTGAGTTACCCTTGTATTAAATCCCGCACAAGTAATACTTACCACGTTTGGTAGCTGGTTAAGAGACAAGTTATTTATATATAAAATTAATATAGTATTTGGTTTGCAATTTAGAAACCCTCGTGACTCATACATGTATAGGTTATGAGGGAATTTATGAATTATTTTATGCGGGATAGAAGGTACAATAACTAATACCTGCAAAGAATGATACGTAGATTTCCTCATAACTAATCCCCTGCATTATTAATACCTGCATAACTCTAACCAGCTATCAAACAGCCCTAAGAGAATATGAGTTCTATCTTCTCATCGAATTGGCAGCCTGCCATGCACATACATTTACAGCTAGAGCAAACAATATGAAAATTTGATCATCCATGGGAAGAGAGACTGACTATCAACAGTAGGCTTTTCCACAAGGTTTCCAAAAGCGGTTCCCATGACTTCAACAAAGTCCACTTCTTCAACAAAATAATCCAAATGCCTGCAAGGTGCTTCTCTGTGAACGCAACCATACCTTGGAATAGGGATTCCAAACATTGCAAGACACTCGTATACTTTCCTCCAATCATGAAGAAGGTACTGTGGCTCCAATTCATTCACAAGGAAAGGCCTAAGACAGAGGAGATAATATAGCATCATAAGTTGTCCACGATGGCAAAGGTTTATATAATTGTGTTGGATATTTCTTTCCAACATTTACAGGGGATCAAAAAGAAGGTTCTGTTAAGATACCAAACTCTCATCATTACAAGAGATATTTATCCTTGGAGCTTCACCACTCAACAGCATCAGATCTTCTTGGTCTTGGGACCTTGTCTAAACAAAAGTATTGTGATCAGACAGTGGGCATTATTACGAAAACCAAAACTTCATCTGAGCAGAAAAGATTGTCAAACAGATCAACAATAATTTCTGGAAAATCCAGAATAGAAGGAGATATTGAGGAATACTAAAAAACAACAACGTTAAAGCAAAATGACTGTCACTTCCATTTTTTCTAATTTCGTTTATTCTATCCTGCATTGTTTACTATCCTTGAACTCCTAACAAATGCTTCAGATCTGCCAGCCAATCATTTATCACTTGCCAAAAGAATAAATCACAAACAACAGAGTTTACCCTGACGCATAGTATATGTTGCTATCAAATTTGAGAAGCCAAAAGATCAAAAAGAGAAGGAGATTGACGATCAGTGACATCAAAAACTCTAAGCTTGCTGTTTATACATGTTCAGACAGACAATCTTGTGGTTTTATATGGCTATAGACATTGGCTGGATTATAGCATCGATGTTGCAAGCATGCTAACGAAATCCTCAAATTTACCAAAATCTTGCATAAGCAAATAAAATTTTCAGGACTCTTACAATCTCTAGTGCTAGCAGCTACTTTGGCGATGTCAGTCAAAAGATCATTTATGCATGTCAAAGTAGATATTCAGAGGACAGAGAATGCCACAAAAGAGAAAGCGAGCATGCCTGAAATTGAAACTACATAGTGCAAAGGATGGATGGAGCTTACTTTCTTAATGAAGCATATGCTTCTGCCTTCTTCAAAGGATATCCACTAAAATAGAAGACAATCAAGCAGTTGCATAACGACCAGCTTTCATAAAATATAAGAGTGATACACTGAAATATAGTGACATACAAGTGTATGTTGTATGAATGTAAAGTGTATTGTTGCATGCTTGTAAGTTGTATGTGTGACATTTTTGGGATGACTGTAAAGAGTATTAAATTGTATTTAAGTTGATCTAGCATCCGCGCGATTTTCAGTTAGGCAGAGATATTGTAAGCGCGCAGATACAGTGTATTTCACTTGCGTGCAGTTACAAGATATCCGCTAAATTTGAAACAAATTGTTGCTACGTTTTGTAAATACACAAACTATCACTATGTTTCCTAATTAGGGACAAAACTATCACTATCTATGAAATTTTCTCAACTTATAACCAAGAGCTAACCTCAAAGCTTCATTTGTACAATGTGAACATATTGGTAGAAGAGAACATGACAACAAAAAGGGTAAAAAGAACGCATAACTCAACTGAAAATCATGAAAAGCAGCAAACAAAAGGTATGTGGAGCTATCCATTAGAAGCAACGGCTACATGCAGGCAAAACAATCATTGCCACGGAGTTCACAATAGATAGGACTGCACAGAAGAACAAC